TCTGTGCTGAGTTTATGACCGTTGTCAGGATGTCTGGCTGACAAATCTTTTAACACATATTTGTTTTCTCACAGAACGAGAAGGATGAGCAATTTGTTTCCTACATTTCGGTTAATTTGGTGAGTTTTCTCAGACAAAGAAAGCACATTTTGATTGAACTAATTCCAACCTCTCACCTTTTTGGGAAACTCGAATGACTATTGTTTCAATGCACTTTCCTTTGTTTTCCTCTTCAGAGGTGGGAAGATCCTGGCATTTCTTGGGATCGTGATGATTTCTGTGGTATTAGGAGGATTTATCCTCCTCCGAGTGTATTGTGGACGCCAGATATAGCTATTGAAGAGATGTAAGTTTGAATATGCATCCTCACAAATTCACGTATACAAATCATTGTTAAGAAATCACACATTTATATGCAAAAACATGTTTCATTTATTTACAATAATATTTATTGCATAAATGTATTGTATTTTAATTGGTGAATAGTCCTATATATACACTGTATATAAGTACAATAGTGGATTAACAATATAACATTAGTAAAATGAGTTATTACATAGGTAAAGTTATCATGTTGAATATCATTGTGTTCAAGGACCTTGATTTAGTTTGATTTTGGTTGTTCAGTACATCCGTGCGTTTTACTTACAGTAAGAAGTCCTTCACAATTCATGGACGCCAGTGAAGACAGTCGAGCCTCCCCAGTTGTATTTCTTGAATACGTTTTAATGCGTTTGAGGGGTCAAACGCATTAAAGGAGTGTTATATAATCATAAATTATACAAATTGTCAATATTTGTGTTTTTGAACTGTGGAATGTACCCAGTAATATGTGTAAAATGTGATATCTGCGCAAAATATATGCTTTTCCTGCTCGTCCTCTCTGCCTGTGTGCTCGTCTGCTCGTGGTCTCCGCCTGTGTGCACGACACGTCTCAGAACGCGCAGCTAGGGGGCCAAAATCGTTTTTGCCCAAAAGAGGCGGGTCTATGAAGCAGTTTATATTAGCAAGCTACATATTAGGCAAAGTGAACATCTTCTCTTCTACATAGTTGTCCTCAGTCTCATCTGCTTAACTTGGTCATGGAGGCATCAACATTTAATTGAGATGGTAAATTAACAGTGAAACTCATCATAGCTTAATTTAACACCATTATTCCTAATTACACTTCATGTTTACTTCTCCTGATCTTTACCTCCGATAACAAGGTCCATAGGGGCATCTCAATAAATAAACATGTTATATTATATTATATAAGTGTTATTTACTGCTTTTTTTTCGTGTTGGAATAAATGTTAAATATTTAACTGCAAAGTAGTAATGCATGTTTGATACTTTAATTTTTTTGCATTAAATCATACTGGGATGTTTGCTGAAATTGATAGGATGGCCCTACCTAGAAAATTTTCCACCAGCCGCCACTGGTTATAGATAATACATTATGTAACATTCAGCTAAAACAATTTGTGTTTGTTCTCATTCAGGATAGAGAGTAATAAGGTTGAGAGTCCTCATGTCACCCTTGACTTTGACGGAGGGGTCTCTCTTTGGACCGACATGGTGGTGGTCAGCACCTGCGCGATGGAAGTTTACAAATTTCCCTTCGAAGTTCAGAGCTGCAAACTAACTTTCAAGTCCACCATACTCACTGGTGAGCCCTTAACCTGCTGTCTTCAAAGTTTTATTAATTCCTCTGCATTGTTTATGTGTTCTTATGTGTGTTTGAGTTTGAATGTGTGTGTGCTTTAATGACTTTTAGAGTTTCTTGTCACCTGAACACACGTACGATACAATCCTTTGTTAACATGCAAGGAAACCTGACAGTTTTTATTTTATCTCCCAACTCAGAGGATGAAATGAGGCTTATTTATTTTGATGACACCAAATGGAGAATTGAGTGGTCTCTCAAGAAGATGACCCAGTCAGAGTGGCTGCTCACCAACCTGACCATGAGTAAAGAAATTGTCGACAATTTTTACTCTGATCTACCTGTGGTGGTTTACACTGTAAGTATCTCTGGACACAGACACACAC